AGAAGAAGAAGAAGAAGAAAAAGAAGAAGAAGAAGAAGAAGAAGAAGAAGAAGAACAACAACAACAACAACAACAACAACAACAAGAGATTGCATTTCTATAGCGTTCTATCCCATACAAATATAAGATACTGAAAGTTTGCTTGAGTACAAGACAACAATATAAACCATTGAATGCACAAGACAAATGGAAAACAAGGACAAAACAGAGATGCTGCAAAACAATAGGGCTACTTAGCAGAGGCAGTACATTGGAGAAGGAAACCAGAAATGTGTTTTACATGTTTGAGTTGAGAGACTCGGAAAGCCAGGAACCCGCCTGGGAGTAAGGGTCAAGGCCTCCGAACAGCTGGTTGTAGAAGTGTGGGTGGCCTGCAAAGACATTATATTTAATGTAACAGCAAAGTTATAAATAACGAATTGTTTTTTGTTTTAGTAAGAGTTTTACACTATTTACAGCACTTGCAAAACAATAAGGTCATATATGTGCCGAAGATTAGAAGTGTTACAAGAGAGTAACAAACACAAAAACTGAGTAGAGATAGTAATAATAATAATAATACTACTAATAATAAATAATTATAAATAACATTTGTATAGCGCATACTCCCGCTCAGCAGTAAGCTCTAAGTGCGTTACACTATATTATTACCCAAGCAGACCATATAGAACACAGATAACGACGATAGATGTTTGATAGGAAAGAAAGAGCACACCACACCAGAGCAAGAGAGACTGAACGGCTATATATATGTAACAGAAATGTTATAACGGGCTAACTGCACAGACATAATATGTAACAGCATTGTTATAGAAGACTAACTGCATAGATATATGTAACAGCAACGTTATAAAAAAAGATTAACTTCATAGACATATGTCGTAATAGAATTGTTATAAAGAATTTAACTGCACAGGCATAATCAGCAATGTAACAGCAATGTCATAAAAAAGACTGGAAAACTGGAAAACAAAAATGTTTTTTTAGGTAGATGTTATACCCCCCCCCCCCTCAATTCCACCCCTTTGACACAATTTACATGATTTAGGAGGCGGGCTTTTGACCCTGCCTATGTGGGCCAACATGGGCTGAGAGGTATACAACATCCCAGAAGAAAAACCAAGATACTCAATAAAAGAACTTGGGTCTCCTGAATGTAACAGCCTAGCGTCTTACTGCTACAACACATATGCCGGTTTCAATTTTGGAAAATGTAGGAAAAAACACTATACTCTTTGCCTATACCGTCAAATCAATATGAATAATTATGCAGCTGAATAAACAGCATTGCCTCCCGATATTCAAAGTCATTTAAATGTCTTAAATTTAGAATCTCATGTTGTGTTTCTCAAGGATTGTGATAGTGAGTTTTAAACTAAAGGAGCAAGCAAGACACGCAAAAGATCTAATTACGACTAACTTTTTAAACTCCTTTTTCTGGGAACTCTTAAAAGAAACTGAACACCTGATCTCAGTGATCTAGATAGAGCATAAATCTGGACGAGATCACAAATATATGAGGGAGCTTTGATATTGACACACTTGTGGAGTAACATTGCAATTTACAATTTTATCTGATGAAAGCAAGCCCAAAGACTGAATGTAAAGAAACTAAGAAGATATCTATAACAACAATCTAGGACACAGGAAAGCTTCTCTACTCTAATGAGAGTGACAAACTTCCCAGACTTCACACACAGAAAATACGCATAGAGATAGGACAAGGACTGGCATTCTGGCCTGACCTGATAAATATTACACAGAACGACATACACATAAGAATCAGAAACAGAAATTGTTTTTGTTTAATCAAGAGTTTTATGGCACTTGCAACACAATAACGTCATACAAGTGCCAAAGATTAGAGGTATTACAAAACAGTAACAAACACAAAAAAGGAGGCGAGATAGAAACTACGAATGTTTGATAGAAAAGAAGGAGCAAGCCACACCAGTACACCCACCAACCAGCAACGAAAAAGAAACACATGTGCACATAAAAACAGACATAGAACTGGCATCAAGGCCAGAGTTGACACAAAACCCCTCCCACCTGTCTTCACACTGTATTTGATAATGCTCTTCATCCCATCCAACAAAGTGTCATGACTCACAGGACCAGAGGAGATGTCAAGTGGCAGCAAATCCTGCACAAGAAAAAAACCCACACATGTTTCAGAAAAAAAAAGAAACTAAGTCTCTTTGAAATGAAAAGAAAAGGGAATTATAACTTTTAGTACCTCAAAGAGAAACTTTGACTTACATCGGTGCATAGAATAGATGCATGCAATTTGCCACTTTTTATACATACCAGCATTTCTACGGACTGATGGAAACTGAATTCAAGAAAATAATAGGCTTTATGAAAATCTAATCGGGGTCCTTCCATGGGAGAAACAAAATTGAAGGGCTCCAATTTTATCAGAGTACCGGGCGGTTCTGACATTAACTGATGACTGCACTCCAGCAACAGAGTAGAGACTGAAATATAGCTCTCCAAAGAATTTTTCCTGAGAAGGAAAGAGATACCAATGTTTTTGGAAAGAGAGGTACAACTACAAGGCCCTTTCAGCTCGGTAAATGTGCCTTCTAAAGTATCAGTTTTAAGGTGCTTACAACAAAAATAGATCATATAAGTGTGTAAGATTAGAGGTGTTACTAGAGAGAAACACGCACAGGAAAGAAGAAGGAGGATAAGAATGATAGATGTTTGAATGAAAAAAAGGAACAAACCATACCAGAGCACCCGCCAACCTCCCACCTTTAAGCCCTGGACCCATGAACCTCCATAAGACAATTCCTAAACCGACACCCCCATCAACTGAAGTACGACTTTGGTGTTCAAAAGAGTAGAAGTAGCACATGCTTAGAAAAGCGCTTGGAATCAAAGAATAAACTCACCATCAACTCTTGTGGATGTTGAAACTGCAAAACTGGAACAGAGCCATCAGTCCCTTTCTGCAAAACATCTTCTTTAATGAGTTTGTAGGCATCATCCAGAAACTTTGAGACCTCAGGATCACTAAATGACTTGAAAGGTTCCGCTGAAGAGAAAAGAAAGTTAGCAATATAAAGTAATGATTAGAATTTGAGGCTTCTAGCAAACTGTCAGACAGGTAACTCACACAGATTTACAATGAAGTATATATAGTCGCTTTTAAGTACAAGGGGGCTATTCCGAAAAATGCTGTTTTGAGAAAATCGAAGGTAAAGTTTTTGCCCTTTGTTCAGTAACTTTAAAAGAGAATGAGAGTTTTCTCTATAACCAAATATACACACCAATGAAACCAAACTTCTCCTAAAGGTAGGGCAATGCCCACTTTTGGTGTAGGTCAAGATTTCTGGAAACCCCCGGAATCTGGGTTAGCCCGCTTGTCCTTAAAAGTGACCATATACCCTCAGAGAAAAGTAACTGTTCACTGACTTCAGGCCTAATTTTGAAAAGGTTATAATTACGCTACATTAATAATCCTGGTAAATTATTTTAGCTTATTCAAAGACGAAACGACATAAGACTAGTTTTTGAACAAAACGTCAATTTATACACAAAAAACTCACGACAAGAAGTCCATCTCCCCAAAAATGCACAACATGATTTGAGGAAAATTGCATGTATTGCTTAAGAGCGTGATTTCAATAACGAGTATGCCCGCATTGTGCAGCAATAACAGCCTGGCATCTTCGTCTCATTCAGCTAATTATTCGTTGAATCTTGATTTGAGGCATGTTGGTCCCCTCTTCCTGCAAAGCTTGCACCAATTTTCATGAAGATTTCTTGATCGCTGCACAAGGCGGGCATATTTGTTATTGAAATCATGCTCTAAAGCAATACATCCAATTTTCCTAAGGATAGTTACTTTTTTCTGAGGGTATACATTTCAATTAAATATCATTATTCCTCCTTTCACTTGCATTGTACCCATTTAGGGCCAGGAAAACCAAGAAAAATACAATGAATGATTTCCAAAGGATACAACAATCTTCCCAGAATTGAGAATTGGAACTTTGAACTTTTCGCAGACGGGGCCTTGATTTGTTTAGTGTGGTCACCTTCTGTTGGTCAGCCCAATCATGACTTAGACAAACGAAAACATTCAATTCAGATGATCAGATTGGGTTGGGTCTAAACTGCACAACTGCAGGGAAATCAAGAAACACTGATCGTCACACTTAGGCAGGTCATGTGAAATCTGGCTGGAATAGCACAAGTACTCATGATTGACCATTACTAGTGTCATATCTAGCTCTACAGATATTACAGGTCTTGAAGAAGGAATTTTACTCCTGCATGAAAAATGAAACAAGAAATAGAAAAAGAAAGAAAGAAAAGAAAACTTGTATTTACCAATTTCCACAAGGAGATTTTTTTACTTTAATGATAATAATAAACAGTATTTGCATAGTGTATACTAGGGGCGAGCACGAGACGAGCCGAGTACCCGTTTCTCGCGAGAAACAGCCTTCCCGTCACTTCCTGAGCACTAAACTACTACTCGGTACCGAGACGTGATACTGCTCGTTGGCTTGACATAACGAGTAACAGTAACGAGAGTGAGAGAGTGAGAGGCGAGAAATGACAACGCAGACAGTGCCACCCATCAACGTGCCGTCCTGTGTGTGAAACTGAAAGGGAGGGGAGAGGGTGGCGAGACGAGGCAAGTGGGGAGTTGATCAGGGCCTAGGCATCGGTCTCCCTACCTTCCTTCACCGCCTGTGCAACAGGGCAAGCCTAGTTTCTAAGTTTAGATCCCCGCCACGATCGGTCTTCTCGCTAAACGAGTTGCTCGTTCTGTGGGGCGAGAAGAGAAATCTCGGCCACGGCCGGCCTTCTCGCTGAACGAGTGGCTCGAACTGCAGGGCGAGAAGAGAAATTGGTCACGAGACGAGAAGTATTGCTCGAGAAACGAGACGGGAAGTATTTCTCATTCCCGGGACCGGGACCGGTCTCGGCGGGAAGTAGGTCAGCTTCCTGGTCTTCTCGCTCGGGAAGGAAAAAGCGCTTCCCGCCCGTCTCTAGTGTATACCCCCTCTCAACAGCAAGCTCTATATGCGCTTTATACTATATTATTACTTTACAATGACAAAAGAGACAAAGAGTTAAAAATGTAACAACGCAAACTGAAAAGAAGGCCCAGAATTGCTCCATTGGTGCAGCGCAGCTCCCTCTTTATGAGTTAGGCTAAACATGCTTCACCCAAAGTACCCAACCACCCACATTACCCCTGCCTGAAAACCTTGACCATGACAATCTTTGACACTATTTGTCTTTGTGAATCTGAGCTCACCTATCGGGTTATCGCTCAACTTCTCTCAAAAGAAAAATCATGACAAGATTATAAGACTGTAGGCTAAGTAGGCTGACAGAACCATAGCATTCAACTTAGATTTACAATGTAATTTTCTACTCTCCTGGATGTAATTTCATCCAGCAGCAAGTATCTGTATATATATCTTTATTTTTGTCCATTGATTTACCTATTTTTTTTAGCAAAGTATAACTTATTTTATACAAAAGAAAAGGAAACTGAAAGATTAGATCTAATATTTTAAATTGAAATATATGTCGGATACTTTTTCAGAGTCTACACTGGAATACTTCAGACATAGAGACGTATCGTTTAGTCTAGCTGACGATTTGGCTCATCGTAGTGATGAGAAAAATCTTTTGGCAATCCTTTGGCTCATATAGTGAATGAGTTAAAGCACAAGAATTCATTTGACCCACTTACCAGCCATTGTTCTTTTGAAGCTGATCACCACGTTACGAAGAGAATGGTTGGCACCGAGTACATGTACAGCAGAATCAACACCTGGCAATGGTAAACGGGACGCAGTCGTTCTCAACAGACTGCGTGCAACATGAGAGAGCATCGCACAATGAAATCTGGAATGCATGACAAATTATTAATTACAAAAGATAAGAAACGATAGCGTTACTTAAATAACAATAGAAAAATATGCTGAACATGCAGAGTAAGAGGGACCAGAAAGGCGCTGTAGAGAGTGCATTCTGCTTAGCTTTCACGACCATGTTTGATTCTGAAAGACGCAATCGGAATTATTCAAATTCGGTGGTGTTGTGCTAGAAGTAATTTTTTCCCTCTATGAAGGAATAAAATCTAGTTGGCTCCAACTCAATTCATTCGACTGACACTGTGCATTTGGTAACATATGGAAACTGATACTGTATTGAAACATATTCTCTAGGGAAACAAATATAAACAGTGATATAATGCATCTTTCTCTTCCCCTTAATTCCGAGCTTACATCACATTTTCTATTATTATTCAAGTAATATTATCATTTCACAAAAACAAAACTGTAGAGATTGGCTATACGTTTTCTTTTCAGCAATCTTCCAGATTTGCATCATGTTTTATTCACATTTCCTGGATTTGAGAAACAAAACAAAGTAAGTGTGAGAAGGCCATTATAAATAGAGGCTGCGGTTGGGTAAGGTACCCAAATCCACCAAAAATATTTTATCTCCTCTATGTGTGGGAAATCGTAGCAGAATCAGGTGCTTATCACGTTTTTTGGAGAGTAAAAATCAATTTTTTCCAGCTGTTTGGGCGATCTTATAGAAGTGTAAGGTTTTAGCACAAAAAAACCTCCATCCATTAAAACGAACAACATTTTAGTATTTTTAGAGTGAATTTGTAACCAAATTTAGGCGGCCATTTTATAGCTAGCTATTTTCACTAGTAACAAACGTTACTCCTGCCAATTTCTTGACTACTATTCTAGTTAGATCAATATTTTGCCCATCAAGTTCAAGAACAATAAAGCATGTCCAATTCCACCACGCTGTGACACATATAATAATAGCATGCAGATCTGGAAGACTGCTACTTTCTTGAAATTGTAAAAACTAGTTTTTAATTAAGTGCTTCAGGAATATTTTTCTTCTGTGTCCATAATATTAATTTTAGGTACTTCATCCAAAATCGATAGCCTATATATGTGAAGCAGCAAGGTTGAATCAGGGGCTCGTCAAAATAATATAATTCAAGGAAATCAACATTTTTCTGGCCGTTGGGCAATTTTTTTCACATTTTTAAATTGTTCAGTACCTTCTATGTACATCCAAGAACACATTTTTGTGTGTATTTTATTGAAAGCATTGATCAAAGGCACAGAAAAAGTAAATTTGCAGTTTCCAAGGGCACTCAAGCTTCGGAAGTCATCAAAATTTGGTGGTAATATTTTCGCCAATTTTGGCAAATTTTTACTTTCACTCCCTCACTCAGATTCACTGCTTGGGAGGTCGAACTGTAGTATATATATTACGACAAATCACATAGCCGCTCTTGCAAATATCAATTATTTTCAAGAAAATTTCAAGCCTAACTGTAAAACATTAAATTTATGGCTTAAAACATGGGGTATGTCCCCCTGTGAGCCCCCCCCCCCCCCCCTCCCCTGATTGGTCCAATGCCCGGAAATGAAATGCAATAAGGCTTACAAGTGTGATATAGTTTGATTAAAAACCATTAAATAATTTTTTAAAACTATCAATTTGTGACAGAAATAAAGTTGATATTCTCGTGTTCAACATTACAATATCAATATAATAGAAAATGGACACCTAGTTATAGTTAACGTGAGACGGGAGGCAAAGTAAAATTAAATACCCTGATTTTACCTCTGACAGTAGGCAAACTCCCACTCCTCCTTCGCAAATCTTTATTTCTATTCAAGATAGATGGGTGATGCAAAACAAGTATGAACAAGCTTTAAATTATTTTAAAATTTAAGGGGTAATCTTTAGGAAAGGTTCAAACCTACTTATATTTTTCGGCGCTGTTTTACTGATTTTTAGGGTGCGGAGAACTATTTTGGGGATCTTTGTCAAGATAACAGATAACAACTGAAAACAACAAATAACAACTGCAAAATAACAACAAACATCAACACAAACATCCTAATTTAGTTTTTTTCCTGATAAATAGTTACTTTCGATTTTACTTTCGATTTGAATGTAAACCAAAAACAAGGGATGCAACTCTGATCATCGCTAAAGTATAATATTCTACTGGTAGTTGCTCAGAGTTGTGCACGTAAAGTAGGGGCCTGGTTGACGACGTGAATATTGATTTTTTTACGCTGGAATCAAAGCATTTTCGTGTTATATCAGTTGTTATTTGCTGTTACCAGTTGTTATTTGTTGTTATCGGTTGTTATTTGTTGTAATCAGTTGTTATTTGTTGTTTTTCTAAAAAAATATAAATACCGGCGATAACAACAAATAACAACTGAGCCGGTATTTCACTTTGTTGAGATTACAACAAATAACAACTGATAACAACAAACTATGTATACTATGTGACTTTGTTCCCGGTTACCGGGTCTACACTCCCTTCTCAGAATGCTTGGGAAAATAAATTTGACCTCTATTTCTCCGAACAGATTCAGTTCTCATGTGACGAAATGACCGGTTACCTCTCCGTGCATGATTGGAGTTACCGATACAGTTAGTACAGAAACAGATAATCAATGCAATGCACCCACCTTTCACTTTGCTTGCCATAGTGATTGTCTAGTCTACAGCAGGGAAGGCCGGCAGAGGTCAAATCAGTGAAGCATTCTCAATTGTGAACACAAAGTGACTTTGTCAAAGAACAGGCAGTTCCTAACACGTTACAATCACAGTTTCAGCAGTTACGACAATTATGTCCCATCTTAATTAAGCTGACGAACGAATAGGACTTTTACTCACCTCTATTCTCACCCGGAGTGAGAATAGTGCAGGCGAGTCTTGTGGCTATTCTCACCCGGTGCGCGTTCACCAAATTTTGCGTTCACCCTAAACCACATAATTCTACACTGTGATAACAGAAAAATTGTAGAATTCTGTGCCGTGAACAAATGTTCCATTACAACTGTAGCCTACTAAAAGCGTACAATTTTGTCTGTGGGCAGTGGAGAGAGAGATAGAAAGAGAGAGAGGAGTAGCGCGAGAATATCCGGGCAAAACAAAATGGCGACCCGCGTAGTTCGGCTCGATTCGAAAAGTTAAATAGCCGTAGCATCTTTGTAGACAACCAAATTAATTTACTTAATTTTGTGTTTTGACATAATTTTTTAACTTTGTTTTGGTCAATTTGATCGTCCACACCGATAGACAGTATTCAGAAAGAGACAGAGAGAGAGAGAGAGAGAGAAGAGGGGAGGAGTTGATCTTGCGAGAACTTCCGGGCGGGTGAGAATAGCCACTTTCAGCCTTTACTTTTGGCCACCTCTATTCTCACCCGGGATGAGAATAGTGCAGGCTAGTCTTTTGGCTATTCTCATCCGGTGCGCGTTCACTGTTGTAGCCTAGATCTAGGAAAACAAATTTTGCGTTCACCCTAAACCACAGAATTCTACACTGTGATAACAGAAAAATTGTAGAATTCCGTGCCGTGAACAAACGTTCCATTACAACTGTAGCCTACTAAAAGCGTACAATTTTGTATGTGGGCAGTGGAGAGAGAGAGAGAGAGAGAGAGAAAGAGACAGAGAGAGGAGTAGCGTGAGAACTTCCGGTCAAAACAAAATGGCGACCCGCGTAGTTCTGCTCGATTCGAAAAGTTAAATAGCCGTAGCATCTTTGTAGACAACCAAATTAATTTACTTTTGTGTTTTAACATCAGTTTTTAACTTTGTTTTGGTCAATTTGATCGTCCACACCGATAGACTGTATTCAGAAAGAGACAGAGAGAGAGAGAGAGAGAGGGGAGGAGTAGATCTTGCGAGAACTTCCGGGCAAAACAAAATGGCGACCCGCGTAGTTCGGCTCGATTCGAACAGTGAAATAGCCATAGCATCTTTGAAGACGATCAAATTAGCTTACTTTTGTGCTATAACGTAATTTTTTCTTGGCTTTTATCAATTTGATCATCCACACCGATAGACAGTATTCCAAAATGAGGAAAAGCAGGTCTTGTTTCGCACCGGGTGAGAATAGCCTACGCTGGCAAGTCTCACCCGGGGTGAGAGGTAGATCGTTTTTCTATTCTCACCCCGGATGAGAATAGCCACTTCCTTTACTTTTAGAGACGAGTAATAGAGTTGGGGGCTGGCGCCAGTTGCAACTAGCCTTGATCATCATCACTGATGATGCATTTTGATTTCGACCTACTTTTAACTTTTAGAGTAGATCTAGATTCTAGATCTAGAATCTAGATTGTAGATCTAAATCTAGGCACCTGTTTAGACCTTCGAAATCACAGCTCCAAGATCCAGTTCCAGCAAAGTCAAAGAGCAATCCCAACGGAAATAGACCTTAAATTTATGTCAAGCACACTTGGAAATGGGAGTCTTCTTTTATTCTTTAATCAAATTTGCTGGAAGAAATCGTAAGAAAATCCTGCTCGTATTTCTTGAGGGAAGTAGGAAGCCTGTCTTCTTGTAATATATTTTGTCTAACTCTTACTGCTTTCGGACTCCGAACTGCTTTACCCACGAAGTCTAGTGTCTAGCTCAACACTTTCAGTTCACTTCCAACAGCTGACGCCAACAGTATAAAACAATGCAAAAATCAACATAATTAAATCTAGTCGTCAATATCAAAGATCGTACAATATATTTATCAATAATATCTACACTTTTGACTGTGTCTAACGAGAGTTAGGAAAGTGTCAATTTCTGTCACATCGTTCTTTATTCCCTGGATTTGAAGCTGTAGAAAGTTTTACAACTCAAGATGTTTGTCTAATTTTGGTTTTTATCAGGCAAGTTTTATTACAAGAGAGGCCATCGGACATTATAATAAGATAAGATAAGATAAGATAAGATAGTACTTTATTATCCCAGAGGGAACTTTTCCTTGGCTATAGAGGACCGTAAAAACACATACAGGTATACATAAAAAAAATTTAAATCATATAATATATTACTCTCATTAAAATTCAATATGAAAGGAGAAGTAAAGCTGACAAAATGTACATATCAAATGCATCATTCAACCACATGCGGGAATTTAAATACTAGATCTTTGGAGTTATATACAGATACATACTCTAAGAGTAACACACATCTATGCTCATTCTGACAAAAGCCTTATGCTAGATGGTAAAAAACATCTTTTATATCTTTCTTTCCTTGTTTTTGGAGGTACATAAAAAACTATCTGCCGCTGCGTGATCTTACAATTTGTGTGGAAAAGGGATGTGATGGGTCGTTTATAATGCTTTTAATCTTTTTTTTTATACGTGTGGTGTTATACATTTCATCCATTCTTATAAAATCATATCCAGATATCTTGCTGGCTTTCTTAATGGTTCTGTCAAATGTTTCTTTATCTTTCACCTTACAATTCCCACCCCAGCAGCAAATACAAAATAATAGCACACTTTCAATCATAGAATGGTAAAAAAAGGGACATAATCTTTTTGTCAACACGGAAACTTTTTAATTTCCTTAAAAGAAACA